AAAAAAAAAAAAGAGTCAGATGCTTAACCGACTGAGCCACCCAGCTGTCCCTAGGGAAAGACTTTCCTAAGTCGGACACAAAATCCAGGAGACATAAAAGAGACGACAGATTCACATCCAGAAAAATAAAAAAATTCCTCTGGCAAAAACACAAGCCCAATCGAAAGATGAATTAGGAAGAATCGTCTGCAGTTCACTGGCCAAAGGGCTAATTTTCTGAATCTAGAAAGAGCTCCTACAAACTACTACGCAAAAAGCACATCCCACAGCAAAAAGGGCAAAAGAGACGAAGAGCCAGTTTATGAAAAAGGAAACGCAAATGACTCAAGCTTGGGGAAGATGCTGAGTCTAAGTCATCACAAGGGAAATGCGGATTAAAGCTACACCAAGGCTATCCTCACCCATCACGTTGGCCGAAGTCAAGAAATCTGTGAACACTTGATGGCGAGCGTGCTCTCTAAGCACAGAGGCATGGGTTGGTGGGCCATGGCAAGGAGGCAGTTTGGCAGGAGCTAGTGAAAGTGGGTGCTCTTTACCTCGCACCTCCCCGCCCGGGGTGCTGCCGCATTGTGCCGCGTGCACTGGGACATCGGGCGGGCCCACCAGCCTCGGGAACCAGGGATGAGACAGCGGGGCAGGAGCAAGGGATGGACGCGATGGGAATGTTCTCAATGCACTGAAGGGCAAAGAGCTCCCATTTTGTCAGGGCGCAGAGGTAGCAGGCCGGTACTTGTGTTCAGAGAAGGAAACGAAGAAACCAGATGTGTATTTACAGGTACTTAAAATATCGCTGGAAGGATAGGAGGGAGATTAACATTGCCTACTTTTTAGTACCTTTTTAATTTTGAACACATCCATATAGTAGATGGTCAAAAATTGGTTAAAACAAAAAAGAATAAGGATTCTTTAGAGTCCTAGAAACAGAATAGAACTTGAGCTCCTACTTGAATACTCCTGGCCCCCGGGAACTCCCTCGCTCCAGATGCCGTGGCTCCAGCTATGGATCAGCTCTGCCTGGAAAGACCTTCCTCGTGCTGAGGCCTCCCGGGAGGGGAAAGAGAGGAGAGGAAGGCAGGACTGGCACCCAGGAGCTGGCACTGGTGCAGATGACGGGCTCGGGTCCTCGCAGCCCCGGGTACTGGTCTGCAACCCCGGCTGGCTGAGTGCCTCCGGAGGCCTCTCCACTAGGATCAGGCAAGTGTGACCTGGCCTGCTGAGAACCAGGCACGAGCCCAAGGAGGTAACCACGGTGGGTGCCAGCCCCACCCGGGGTGCCAGCTGGTGCAGCTCTTTCAAGTCGGCTGCCCAACAGAGAGAAGAAAGTGCTTCAAGAGGGGACTTCAGAAGCCCAGAGGACACCTCAGGATACAGTGACAAGCAGGAGGAAGCAGGGAGGGCTGCTGGCTGGTCTTCACTCCTCTCAGACTTCAGTCCCCGGGATCTGACTCCCCCAGCACCTGACCTCCGAGGCCCCTGGATGCCCACTGGCACCTGCTACTCCACACGGCCCAGCTGGATTTTCCCTGTCCCCCTTCTAGCAGGAAGTGAGCCCCTGCCCCTGTCACTCCTCACCCATCTCGTATGGCTCATGGTTACTTCTGGACATTTCTGTCCCTTCCCTAAATGGCATGCTCACTCCGAGCCAGGCTCTGGGGAGAAAGAGGTGCCCAGCCTCCCGCCAAGGCCCAGGCATCCCAGGAAGGGGGGGGCTCTCCTGATTGGCTTTGTACCACCCCATGCCCACTGGGGCCTCGAGAAGGGGCAAGCGTGGGCCACATACATTCAGCACCATGCATGCAATAAATGCTCAGAGCGCTGAGGCTCAGAATGTGTGGAGCCTCCCCACTTTGGGCCCAGCCCTGAGTGGGGCACTGGGGACACAGAGATGGGCAAAGCCAATCTGGCCTGCAGGGAGCTCCCAGACTGGGGTGGGCCAGGGTGGGGGAGCGAGGCAGAAATGGACAGCACAGAGGCTCAGGACTATGGCAAGGGAGCCTGCCAGGGCTGGGGGAATCTGAGCAGCCTGTAGGTGGGGGAAGCAAACTAAGGAAGGAGTCCAAAGGAGAGAGAAAGGGAGGGCAAGAGGGAAGAGGGAGAGGAGAGGAGAGGTAGCCATGCTGGCAGGGCCTGGGATGTCTCCTGCAGCAGAAGCCGAGGGTGGCTGTCCCAAGCCAGCAGTTGGGAGGTGTTAGCAGGACCCAAGTCATACAGGGCTGTAGTGGGGGAGCTGGGATCGCCCCGGGAGCAAGGGGGAGAGCGGTGGGAAGGGCTTTGAGTTGGGAATAACATCACCAGGTTTACAATGAGCTCACCGATGAAGAGGAGAGGGGGCCAGGGCCGTGACCTGAGTTGGGCAAGCAGCAGCTACAGAGCTAGATTCTTATTAAGTGGGAGACCCTGGGCAAGTTCTCTAACCTCTTCGTACCTCAGTTTGCCCAACTGCAAAATGGGAAGATATTAGTACCTACCACACAGGGCTACCGGTGAGGGTTAAATGAGTTAATATAGGCTAGACGATGAGAACAGTGCCAGGTGTATGGTGAGCACTCCCTTAGCCACTGGAACGGCTGTCATCATGATGCAGAGGAAGGATGGCGTGTCCGAGCTCTTCCTCCGGGGCTGCGGCCTCCCTGCCCCTCCCCCACCCCCCAGGGAGGCAGCCCTTACCTTGTGCAGCCAGTGTAGGTTCATCTGCTGCCCCACGGCGATGTGACATAGTGCCAGGACCTGAAGAGGGGGCCCACGAGGTGACGGTCGGGCACCGTGTGTGACCCAAAGGTTTCTGCTAGCTCCCCAGACACCCTTCTGCCCACTGCTGCTCTGGACCTTGGTCAGAGCAGTCAACAAACCCTCCCCGTAGGCGATGGGAGTGCCCAGCCTGGCCTAAGCCTGGCCTCCTCCCCGGTTATTCTAGGCCGCTAGGCTCCTCCTCCTCCTCTACAGTTTCTCCCTCCGCAGGTCACTGGGCCCTGCTGCGCTTGGGCTGCCCAGTTAATGTTTTGAGAGTTCAGGGCCCCAGGATTCTGAAGCAGACTTGAGCCTAGTCCCCAGGGAGCTCCCAGTCTAGCATGGGGATCGACCTGAGTCTGAGGGAGTAGAGAATTGGTAGCAAGAACCAAGGCAGAAGTTTCTGGAAGAGACAGTCTGCAGTGGACCCTAACAGCAAGATGGCCCTCGTCACTGGGTCAGGAGGAAAACATTCCAGGATGGGGCAAAAGATGACCTCCCACCTTGGAGGAAGCCGAGCCCCAGAGGGGCAGCAGGCTAGGAGGACCCGGGAAAAGCCAGCTTCCCTTTTTAGGCCAGGTGGTCCTCCATCGGCCCATGTAAGCCAAGTCTCCCACCCCCTGGGAGCAGGGCCACCTGCCCTCTGAGACGCCCCACGTACCAGGAGGCCCGCGATGTAGGTGAAGGCAGCAGCTGTGGTCATGAGGATGGGCACAGACCAGTCGCTCCAGTAGCCCATGCGGTTGTAGAGGTACCTGCCGGGAGGAGAAGAGGTCAGACCTGCACCAGGGAACCAGGAGGTTCCCTTGGGACAGCAGGCTGTCAGCTCTCACACAGCCAGGCTCAGTGACCAGGCCTTGGACCAGTCAGTAATGATGTCACGGTTCCCGTGCTCACCGGTCAGGCTTGTCCAGGGCTCACAGGGGACAGCCGGGCATGCCAAGAAGCATAAAGAAAACAGTTCCCCATAATTCTACTGCCCAGAAGTAACCGCTGCCGAGACTTTGCAGACCTTTCTTCTGCTGGGTTTCCCTGCCAGGCTTATATATTTGTAAAGCGGCAAAGCCAGGACCCTGTCACATCTAGCATATGCTCAGTTTGGGCTTTGGAGGGAGGTGCACTGGGTTCAAATCCCCACTCTGCCTCTCACTGGCTTGCAGGACCCTGTGGAGGTGACAGGCTTCCCCGATTCTAAGATGCCATCGATTGTGACATGCGTCTCAATTTCGATGCTAGAGTGTGAAAATGTGGGGTCTTAGGGTTGATACGACATAATACCTGACTTATCTCAGCCTTAGTTTTCTCATCTACAGGATGGAGATAACAAAGTGCCCTTCACAGGGTTTCCTGAGGATGAAGTGAGGCAAGGCACGTGATAAGTAATCAATTCTCTTCTTGTTATTAACACAAGAATTTACTGAGGTCAGTAAAAATCCTGAAGAAATCTGATTTTTTGACAGCCCTGTGGTCTGTTGAATTAATGTACCATACGTAGCCAATTTCCTACTGATGAAAACAGTTTCTAATTATTCACTCTTATAAATTAACACAAAAAAGAAAATGTTGCACATAGCTTTCTGTATTATTAATTATTTTCTTAGGATAGACTCCTACGAATAGAATTATAGAGCCAAAGGCAATGGACTTTAAGGCTCCTGATAGATACTGCTTAGTTGCTCTCCAGAAAGACTGAGCCATCCACATCCTCCCTGTACAACTGAGGAAACTGAGGCTCAGAGAAGGCAGCAATTTACTCAAGGTGGTCAGAGACTCTGAGCCGGCACCAGGCAGTTTCAGGCCTACTGCCATCTCGGGCATGGGCAGGGGTGATGGGAAGGGACACTAGGACACTATGGGGCACCCTGGCCCTCATCTTCAGATTGCAGGGAGAAATCTACTGCTTAGAAGATCACTGAATGCACCCTCCTACAGGTGGAGAAACTGAGGCCCAAAGAAGGGCGGGACTCGCTTCTTAGGAACTGGTCCTGAAAGATGTTTTAGTTCCACTTGTCTCCCACTTTTGGCAGGGAGCCCTCCTGGACAGCAACAGCCCACGTGGCCCCTCCCTGGGTGGGCCAGCCCTGACCACCTGCTTCTCGCTCGCAACCCCTCGCTGCGTGAACTATCCCCAGAGGCTGTCGGGACTAGGAGGGCGGGGCCAGGGTCTCCTGAACCCCAGCACTGACTCCAAGAAACCGAGGTGACAGTGACAGGCTGATGGAGCTACAGGCCTTCAGGCCATCCCTAAGTCGCAGGCAGGCCTTCCCCCTGCAGACTCCCCAGCAGGGTAGGCACCCATCCTCTGCGTGAGCTGCCCAGTGACAGGACGCTCACTCTTTGGGCAGACTGAGGTAGTTCTTGGACAGCGTGATACAGTCAGCCATGCTCAAGTCCCTGTCCTACATCTGTCTGCACCTCACTGTGTGACTGTGAAAAGTCTACTTAACCTCTCTGAACTCCAGTCTCCTCAAACTGTCCTCAATATATGTTTTGGCACTTAGTGGTTTTGTGGTTGTGGGTGAGTCCTGCCCTCTCTGGGCCTTAGTTTCCCCATCTGTACACGATGCGGGGGGACCTGAGGATCTCCCAGGCAGCAGACCTTCAGCAGAAGTGTCCAATGACTGCAGTGGAAGGCCAGCAGGGAATGTTCCCATTTACGCACAACAGTGCCGGCGCTTTGGATACCTGTGAGGATGAATAATTGATTTATGGCATTTAATAAAGGCCAGAGGGCACCTCTGGGACTCAAGCTCATCTTGCTGGGCTGTAGGGGGACAGCAGCACATCCTTTATTGTGCTCATTAATAACAGAGGCACAGCCTTGTGCCATGCAGAGGGGAGTGGATGCCCAGACTCCATTAACGGAGTCTTAGGATCATCCCAGAATCCTAGAACCACAGCCTGTCAGAAGCCCAGAGTCCTAGAAATCCCCAATTCTAACATCATGGCCACCTTCCAGCTGGAGATCCGGCCTCCTGGGAAGCAGCCCTGAGGGTGACATGGAGCTCTAAGCCCTCCCATGGCCATCATCTCGTTTCATCCTCAGAAAGACCTGATGAGATTGGAATTATCCCATTTTACGGGAGAGGAAACTGAGCCTGAGAGGCTCACCTTAGTGTGCTCATGGTCACACTGAACTGAGCTGAACTTCTAACCAGAAGGAAAAGACAGCACTGGATAGGGAGTGAGGAGGCCTGGCTTCCAAGCCCCAACTCTGCTCCTAAGCGGCTATGTGATCTTGGGCCTCAGTTTCCACACTTGTCAGTGGAGGAGTCTCCATTAGAACCCAGGGAACTTACCCCGATCCCATGCCTTTCACTGTCTGGCAAAGGCAGGCAACGGAGGCGGGTGAAGAAGAAACAGGTACCCTTGCATACCCAGGTCCCAGCCTCAGACAGCCCTGCCCTTGGACCCGAGGCTGGTGCCCATAAAGGACCCTGAACTGTCCCAGAACCATAGCATCTGCCAGCGCTGCCCAAAGTCCTGCTCAGGGACTGAGGAGGCCTGCGGTCTGGGGTCACCTCCTCTGCTGAGGCCCTGGTCTTTCTGGGCCTTGGGGTTCTTGCCTACAAAGAGGTTCAGGGGCCCCGGACCCTGGCTGAGCCCTGCCCATCTTATGTTCCTGTTTTCCATGAGAGCAGCACCAGGAAGGAGTTCCCTGTTCCTCCCAGCTGGTCTCAGCTCCTGCCCAGCCTTTGTTCTTTCCAGAGGACCCTGCTCCCCAAAAGCCACACGGAGAGCCCTGAGGGCCAGCCTGGGAGAGAGGCTCCAACCCAAGCCCCGCAGTTCCAGCCCGGGGCCCAGGCCCCCATGTCCCCTGCTTACCCCACACCCACTCACCAGTTGAATTCATCGTAGTCATTGTGGACTTCCCACCAGAAGTAGAGCCAGGTGAGTGTGAGGCCAAAGGTGAAGGTGAGGAGCAGGAACCAGAGGCGTTCCCACTGGAAGAACAGAGCGGGGAAAGGGGTCAGGTGAGGTCAGGGGCTGGATCCTGGGGCCACCTCCCATCTAGAATGTTCTTCCTGCTCTCACTTTATAGCCAAACCTGCCAGGCAGGGATTACTGGCCTCTTCATACTGGTGGGGACCCTGAGGCTCAGAGGGGGAAGCGACCTGCCCAACACCACAGAGCTCAAAGTCACAAAATGGTAGGGAGCTAGGAGCGGGGTCAGGGATCCACCCCCTTGGGCTGAGGCCTTTCCAGTGTGCACCGTTCTCCCCATATTGGCGATGGCTCCCAGGAGCAAAGGCCGTGTCTGCCCTAAGCCTTTTTACCGGCATGGTCATCTGCAGTCTGTGAGGCCACATCGCTTACCTCCTTCCCTTCTCGCACACACCTACAGTGTAGGTATTCTTTCCCATACCTGCCCCATGCTACTGATAAATACACTGAGGCCCGGAGAGGTGAAGCGACTTGTCCTAGTCACACAGCAAGTGAGTAGAGCATTAAAGACCAGTGTCCCAGTCTCTGGCCTCGAAGTGTAGCCTTCTGCCACCCGTACCAGGCACCGGCCCCTCGGGGCTGGGCCACGCAGCCCCTCTGTCTCCTGCAGGGAGGGGGGTGGGGGCCCCCGACACTGCTGCTTCCAGAGAGGTCCGCAGGCACTTCCGGCTGGGCCCTCAGGTTTATCCCTGCTTTCGTCTGTCGCCTTATCTCAGAAGCACAGCAAGCTGGGAACATCCTGCTCTCTGGGAAACCGCTGAGATCATCAGAACGAACAAACGGCGTTTGAGGGGAAGTCAGCATAGAAGAGAACAAAGACCACCCCCACCTTGAGGGGTTGCAGGGCTTGGGCAGCCTGGGTATCTCTTGCCTGACTGTTGCCCAGAAGGCTTGCGGGCTCCCTGCAGCTCCCTTAGGCTTCTTTGATCCTTCCAGCCCAGAGCCATGGCTCAAACCTCAGCGTAGCCTCTTGATGGCTCCTCACTGCGTAGCCAAGCAGGGGAGCCCCTCTGGGGGTGTTCTGTCCACCTCTCTGCCTTCATCCCCTTCCCCAACCAATTCCCTCACCCCGGAAGAGCCATCCCTCCTGGTTTATTTGTCTCACATTCCCATTCACCTTTCAAGTCAGCTCAAATGTCACCTCCTCTGTGAAGTCTTCCTGGACTTCACCTCTGCCGCCCAGCCCACGGTGCTGCCACAGCCTCAGTGCCCCCGACTTTAAACTCACGCCCTGTGCACCGTGATCGGCTCACGTGACTGTGTCTCGCAAGCGACTGCAGGTTCTGCAAGGACACTCCCTTAGCATTTATGACTACAGGCAGGGACGCAAGTACAAGAGGAGAGAAAGTTCACTCACTGCCCGGGACACCTCCATCCTGTGCCATCAAGAAGACACCACAGTGGAGCGGCTATGCACACAGTGTCTGGAGCTTACAAGCCATTTAGCCTCAGGCATCACAAGCTGACATAACCCTTCTGTGCCTCAGTGTATTCCCGTGTGACGTGAGGACAATACTAGTACTTCCACCACGGGGTTGACGTGAGCATTAAATGAGATAATACAAGCCAAGTGCTCGGAGCCAGGACTGGCAAGCAGTCCGTGCTCTGGTAGCACGGCTTCAGGCATGCTCTGCCACGCCCAGCACGCAGGACAGGCCCTCAAACCCCGACGAAGGTCCACACTGAGCACCCACTCCGTGCCTAGCCCTGGGCAGGAGGGTCTGAGCTTGGGTGACAGTGAAAGCAGCCTCCTCCGCTCGCTGTCATGTACAGAGCCAGGCAGCCTTGCTTAGCCCCGCTTTGTACATAAGCAGAGAGGCGGAGGTGAAACCATCTTTCCAGCAGCTGGCGGTGGGTGGTTTCTTAGAGACCGGACCACCCGTGTCTGTCCCACCTGGACAGAGAATGGCACGAGCCCCAGCCCTGGGCCCATGAGGTGCAGCCTTGCTCAGGAATGGAGAAACCCCAGATAGGAGCAGGGTGAGCCATGTGCCTTTCTGGAGCACTGGAACCCAAGAATGGCTGGGACTGTCTGGGGGAGCAGAGAAGGGCTGTAGCTCAGCCTCGGGGCTGAGGGCTGGGGGGTGCCCCGTCTGAGCCAGCAACCCCAGCCCGGCTGGCCTAGCATCGCCCGGGTCTTGGCTTTCTCCGAGTCCCTCTTGCTGCCTCCAATTCTCATTTGGTCACAAGTAAGAATTCATTCGCCCCTACTTCCTGTAGAGCATAGCTGGCTGCTTCCAGACCAGCTTAAACATAGGTCCTCGAAGCCTGATCCTTCTCTGGTCATGTCATGCCCCAGCCTGAGAATATCACTGGCTTCAGCCCTCACCTCTGCCCTCACACAGGCACTTTACAGGCCACGCTCTGAACTGCCCACAGACCCTCAACAGGCTTCTTCAAGCCCCGTACCTCTGCACAAGCCATACCCTCCATTTAGAAGGCAACCCCTCTCTGGTTCACGGGGCGGCGCTCCTCCTCCCTGACGCCTTCCCTCTCCCATCAGGTCAATCTCCCGTCCACAGAGCTTCCATAGCCCTGACCCCATGTCTGTTCCAGCATAGACCCTGTAGTTCTAGAATTGTCTTTATATGTCAGTTACCTCTGTTATACTGTAAGCACCTTCGAGATCTAGGTGATCTTCCTATTCCCGGGGTGGGGTGGGAACTTAAGAAGAATTTGATAATGATAGGTGAGAAAAGACCCTTTCTCTTACTCTGCCACGAAGATGCCCACCCAGGAGACATTTCACCGGGGGCTTACCATCCCGCCCCCACAGAGGGGCCCACGGTCTTCTGCGGACCCCCGGCTGGCAGCAGTGAATGGCCATCCGTCCACAGAGATCCCTCCACTTCGGCAGGGGCAAGCTGCTGCACCTCTGGCCACTAGACAGGGTTCTGAGAGGGGCCTGGGTGAGGGGTAGGCCTCAGCCTATGATGGGTCCTGTCCCAGGCAAGCAGCCTGGAATTCAATAGCTGGTGGGACCAGGGGGCTAGCTGTAGGGACAGTGGCAGATTAGAAAAGCTGCTACACGTGCTGGGGGATGTCCTACGGTGAGTTATGATGCATAACCGAGGGGCAATTCTGACAGGTTTGCTGGGAATACCACAGGCGTTGGGGGACCCACAGCAGACGGGCCCTGTGCACTAAGGGCCACTGTCCCCACTTGACCAGATCCTGAGGGTGGGGCAGGAAAGACTGGGTAAGAATGAGGGGCTCCCCTGCCCCAGCCCTGGACACCAGATAAGATTAGAGCCGGCAGGTGGATGAGACACTGAGGGCACAGCAGATACGGGGGCAAGGCCGTGGCATTAAGGAATGAGGAACCCCACTATCAGAACTGGCACGAGCTGGGGTCGGGGGCCACCTGGAGATGAAAATCCTGGGAGCTAGAAGCTGGTGGCCCCATGGCCACAGGGAGCCTGTAGACGGGGATGAAGAGACTCGACCCCAGCAGGGAAGCGACAGGTCACTGTAAGAACAATCAGAGGAAAAACCTGGATGGCGGGGGCTGGAAGAAAGGGGAAGGGACAGGCCAGGAACTGGCAGAGGAAGTGGCTCCATCAACAAAGAGGCTGCAAATGGCATTAAGGGTCCTTGTCAGGGCCACTACAGGAGAAAGGCCTGGGCCTGCTCCCAGGCAGTACGGGCGCTGAGGTCACTGCCAGCTGGGAGGGACGGTGGACCCACCGGCCCTCCATCACCTCTCAGTCCGCCCAGGGCCTGGGACTCTCTCTTTGTGGGGTTTTATCTCCATCCGAGAGCAAATGAGGAAAACCCCCAAGCCTCAGAGAAGGGCCAGCACACTCAGCTGAGCGAGCTGTGGACCTCATCACTAAGAAGTGGCACTCACGTCATGGTTACCATCAGTACACATATTTGCCATGATTGTTTTCCAGTACATGCTGGGCATGAGTCCTGGAGAAGGGGAGACTTTTGCTCATTTGCACAAAGGCTCAGTATGGATGCGTAGGGGGGAGTCAGAGGTTGAGGGACATACCCGAGGTCACCAAGTGGGGGAGGATAGATGTGGGATTGAACTCGGTATCCTGACAGACGCCCCCATGAGAGCCAGCCCTGCGCAGTTCTCCCCAAAACCCGCCCTTGCCGTCTGGGACCCAGGATGGTAGTCCCAGGCCCAGCCTGGCCCCCTGCGATTCTCGCTCCTCTCTCTCGGGGCTCTACCCCAGGCCAAACCTCCTTCTCCTTCAGGAAACACCTGCATCCCTCCAGGCCTTGAAGACCTCCTTTCCCTGAGTACTTCTGCACAGAGTCGTGGTGCCCGCCAATTTGACCCTCAATCACATTCTGAAATGTGGAGATGAAAATAACCTGGGCTCAGGAGGCAGATGGACCGGCCTCTGCCTCTTGGGCAAGTTAACTCCTCTGAGCCTCAGTTTCCTCGCCTGTAAAACAGGGAGAATAACCCCCTACCTTGGAGGATTGCTATTAAATGAGGTGATATATATCAAGTGGCATACAGTAGGCACATAATAAGGGACGGTTCCCTGGGCTGTGGACTCCTTCAGGGCAGGGATGGCTGAGATACGTCCGCATACCCTGGGCTCACATCCTGCAGAGCGCAAGATGATGCTCAGACATGGTGTGAAGGCGTGAACCTGACTGTGACGCGGGGAGGCTTCAGGTCCCCAGTGGACGGGGCCATCATCCAACCCAGACATATCCTCTGGCTGAGGGACCAGGAGAAGGAGCTCCTGTGATACCCAGCCTCCTTCCGTTCAGAGCCTTGTAGCCACCTGAGCGGGACAAGGGTCAGGGAGCTCCTGAGCTGGCTGGGCAGCAGCAGGCACAGGGAGAGGCTGAGAGCAGCTGGGGAGGGGCACAGGCCCGGCCGCGAGCTGCGGGGGCCGCTCCATCCCTCTGCCGGGAGCTGGGGGTGATGGAGAGGCGGGGAGACCCAGCCCCAGAGGCCAGGGCATTCAGCCCCGCGCCCCCTGCCTCATCTCCTCCTGTTCTTGTCCCCACCCTCCAGAAGACGGGT